ACTATCTTATCGTTAGGATTCACTCTTATTGTATTATCCTCATATGAACAAAGTTCAACAAGGCTAGCTAAAGTAGAAGCAGATCGTTTCTGTAATTCAAAATTTTCTTCTGATTTTATTGAATTCATAATAGATCTGATTACAGGATTAAGCTTGGAAGGTAATACTCGTAATGCAACAACTGCTCCGGCAATTGCAGCAAATACAATTGTATCATTTTTTTGTTTTGAAGCTTCATAATAACCAATTGAAGATACCACTCGACGTTGACGATCTTGTAACTGAGATTGTGTATCATCATTTGAAGATCTCCGATTTTTAACAGATACATGAGATAATAAATTATTAAAAACATCAGTTGAAAATTCTGCAGCTATTTCTATTCCGAACAAAGAAGTTGAATTGTCTGTTTGAATTTTTTCTCCAAGAACATATGTAGGTAATGGAGGAATGATATCGGAATTAACTTTGCCAACAGATACAAATGTATTAAGCATTGCTTGACATTCCCCTCGAATACGACGAAGAATAGAAACAAGTTCTGAATAAAAAACTAGGAGGATTAGATTCCAGAATTGAGATCATGGCATTAGATAAAATTGAGGCTAAAGGTAAATTTTGTATTAATGAAGATTGGTTATTTTGCGGTTCTTTTTCCATAACTGATCGTGACCATTCTTCGGTAATTACAGCAGCTAATTGTTTGCTTAATGCCCATGAAGAAGAAAGGCAGTTTATAATATATTCTTTAAATGTGGATTCTAAGGACTAAATTATAAAATGATTTATAATAAAAAAAATTGTTGAAGTCCATTTTTTTGAATAAGGAAAATTAATAAAATAAACGAAATAAACCACGAAAGTAATCATACCTCACTTGGCCAACAACTCATTAACATTCCTAATCCTTTAGAAGCAATAACTCTTCCTCTTAATATAGTATCCACACTAACCAGTGCAAAATCTTGTTGCAACATTCCAGTATCAATACTATAGCCACCAGATGTTACAGCAATATCACCACCATTATTATTACGATTCGAATTCCTTCTTCTTGAATTATTTGATGGAGATGTTACTGTTATAGGAGTTGTTTCCATTGGAATCGGTCCATCAGGAATATAAAATAATCGACGCTCAATTGGAGTACCTAAAGGTGTCATGACTATTGAAAACCATGATCCGATATGTTGAGATGTGAAATTAAAGAGTTTATTCTTTTCAACGGGTTTTGATACATGTGAAAGTAATCTTGACCAAACTTTTAGAGAAATATAAAGAACATCCTAAAAAGGAGAAATATAAAACATACGTTATGTTAATTTCAAATTTTCATTTCATGTAAAATATATATCAATGATCTTTTTTTTTTTTTACGCACTCTTTTTTCCTCAACAATAATATTTTGAAACACAAGACTAAAAGTACGATGATCGACCCATTCTTCTACTTCGTCCATACCCAAAAATGTTAGCAAAGTATTGAGTACCGCGACTCGTACAGATGTAATGGTATGACGGAAAAATGGATATAATCTTGGTATTAAAGTAGTTAAAGAATGACTGAAATCATATTTATTTATTTATTTTTATATAAATATATGATAAATATAAATAAAATTTAGTAATTTATATGACACAGAAAGTAAAAATTGAATTATTATTCATATTATTATTATTATTATTATTAAATCTACCTTTGGTCAGATGCATCAGCCTCTCGCATATATTTTTATACGGTAGGAAAAGAAAATAATTTTGCTAAAAAATCCATTACACTAGCTGTGGAAGCTGTCAAATCATCTTTAAGATCCTTAAGACAATCCCACAACACAGTTACAATTTCGGGTATTTTATTTGGAGCAAGTTGGACAAAATAATCCGCAATTGGTATTAAAATAGAAGCCGCTACGGCTCGAACATCATCGTCACTGTCTTTTAAACTTTAATAAAATAACATAAAATATAACATAAAATAACGTAAGATAATAAGATAAAGAATATAAAAATTAACTTCATAGTCATTCTTTTTT